AATTCATGTTCAATATTTTATTATGGCCAGTGATAAGATAATTGTACACCAGTTCATTTTTTAAGCGAACTAGTACGTTGATTGTTCAGTTTGCATCATTAAGCCCAAGCAATAGCATGATGAGGTGGGCACATGCCGCGCCTATGGGCGTGGCGAGCGACGCCGCGCCCGACAGACGAGTTTTCCTGCCTGGCTGTTCGAATACGGGTGTCAGTGAAATGGAAAAAATTGATATCGACGTCATAGAGTCTTGTCTTTGCTTCAAATATAGCTGCTCCAAACGACAAACTAATGCACATCTAGAATTTGCTCGGCATGAACGCATGACAAACCGCGTGCGGCAACGCGATAAATTACGACTGACTTGCGCGTCTCCCCTCCAGGGGTCACTCCGTAAGATTTTCTTGTGACCGACCAAGAAGTAATGAATAAATAGTCGACTTCTGATTCAAAACGGTTGCAGTGTGGTTTCAGGTCTACTGTGCGAAGCAAAAACTAATCACAATCAGAATCTGATTCTTCGTAATAAACTGGACAGTCATGGTCCAGGTGGGATGGGAAACGCTTGGCCGCCACCATTCTGTTCGCTTTCGTTTTCCCAGGCTGGTTTGTTAGGAGAAAGAATTCGACGACTACTATCTCGCTGAGAGGATGCAGACAAGCAGAAGAGATGTCGCTTTGCCGCGCCCCCGCATGATACCCTCTGGATTGCCATAGCGCCAAAAACTTCATAAATTGGAATTGTTTCAGGATCCTCTCTTAAATTCAATAAATACAGCCATTGAGACGGAGCAAAACTCACTGGATGCTATACTGGTGTACTTTGATGTAAAAGGAGCAGCGATAGAAGCGTCTCCAAGCCTTGTAATCGACGCTCGCTCTTCTTCTTCTAGTTCCTTCATGAGCTTCTCTAGTTTGTTTTGTGCGTTTATCACAGAAGGATGTGTACTCCTGAACAAGCGATAGAGAAGTGAGCTCTCCTTAGAAAGCTTGCAAAATTGCAAATTACAGGGTCAGATCTTAGGCAAAGGTCCTCGCAGAACGACAGTTCGCGATGTAATCATGAATAATTGGGTATCCAAACAAATAAATAAAATATCCATCAACGTGAGGTGTACCTCGCTCTAGCACCAGGTGGTGCTTCCCCGCGTCGCGCTACAGCGCTCGGCATTCCAGCAGGTACTGGTGGTAATGCTCCAGCTTGCACAAGCCGGCGTGCTTCATCTATCTTCTCTTTCTTCTCCTTTTCCTTTTGTTCAGTCTTTGTGGCATCGTATGGATGCGATAGTAATGCGACACCTAAACAGAAGATTCCAGAGAAAACTGGCAATACCGAATAAATGGCTGCACTCGTGCCGACAAGTGAGGCAAAGTACGTACCAACGTTGGAATGCTTCAAGGCACCGACATCGTTTGTTCCGTCTCCACACATCAAGGTTACCCAACCCAGCGACTTGTACTCGTTAATTACACGTTCCTGACATTTTTGTAATATTTACAAGTTCAGCAGCTAAAGTGTAATTCAACTGCAATGCAACAGGAGGGAACCCAAGGACAATATGGGTAACAGTGCTCATCCCAAACAGCCTCCGAGAGGACTAGTTGACTGGAAACCCTTGGAAAAGTAGTCCAGTAGTGGGCTGTGAGGCCACGCCTCTTCCGTGCTCGTCTGTGCCCTCTTGAGGAAACAGTATTGGGTGGGTTTGGTTGACGCCGACGAGACCGCACAGTGTTCTCGCCCATTGTCGCGCCCCCTTCCCTCCGCTCGCCTCCCCTGAATTGCCTGAGCACCCGTTCAGAACAAATCCGCATGCCAGCTGAAAATACAAAAACCAGGGTCTATTACCTTCTGTTTAGGTGCCATTCTTCGCGAACACTCGAACATACATAATGATGTCGCGCAGGAAACTGTGTTCCTTTTCCAACAAGTATGCAAACGCCTGGAAGGATAGTGAATCAACTTCTAAACTTCTATTAACTACCAAGCCTTCATACCGGTCCAGTAAGACAGAATTCATTTTCCATGAAAAACTTCTTCATCTGTTGCTTATTCGTGTATGGAATGAGGATCATATTCCACAGATTCATCCACCGCCTTAAGTAAAAGGTCTTTCTATTACTGGTGAGGGAAAACTCGATAAAAAGACCTTCCACTTCCACGGTGCAGACTTATCCACAGGCTCGTCTAGTACCAGAGTAGGTACTTTCCTTCTGGTAAACTTGAGCACTTTAGCTACATTACACGCCGTCAGTGGATTATCACCAGTTACCATTGCCACCTTAAAATATAAGTTTAAGTTTTAACCACACATCATAGGAAGAAAAGCATCCTAGCTGACCTTATGGGAGCTTTCCACAATTTCCTTTATCATTGCTTTTGTGTCCGGTTTCAGAGGACAAGATATAACTACAAATCCAGCAAATCGCAGATTTGTCTCCAAATTTTCTCGTTTGGCATCTCGTAGCTGTAAAGACTTCATTAATTCAAGGCTTACTATTGGACTAAACTAGAAGTTCAGGAAAAGGTGGTATACAGTAGCCTAAAGTGCGCGTAAAACTGAGTGCGTAGATGCAGCAAATACAGACAACACCAATCAGTCTCCGCCTAGGCAGACCAGGGTGTGCAAAAAACGCGTAACCCAGACTAATAAACTGGTAAGTAAACCGGCTTACGGTATGCTCAATTGTGTGCATTCACGGAGACGACACGCCTCATTTCACGCGCAATTTTCGGGGTACTGTATATCGCCTGTTTTCTGTATTTATAATCTTGTTACTATCAGCTACTTAATCACTCACCTCTCCTAGCCTTGTGTGAGGTAGATCTTTGATTCCCATTGCAAGGACACGAGCACCCTGTCGGGTAAGATTCGTGAAAACTTCGTCGTAATCCTTCGGTACATTCTCATACTAAAAGACAACTACGTCAAAACAGAAAAAAAGCCAACACCTACAGCGCGCATTTGAATCGCTTGCGCGATCCAAATGTTCAAGCGAATAAGATCGCTCGAACATTTGAATCGCGCGACCGGACCGATCGCGCAGATCGCCAAGTACGAATGTGCTCGACTCCACACAAACCATGGATCTCAACGTCTCTGGAGCTCCTTTCACAGCGACTATCATTTTCGGTTCTTGGAAACCTGGGACTTGATATCCAGCGACAACTGTCATCCTTTTCATTGCAGATGAGAAGTGATAACGATGGAAGATTTTCAGGCCAGTCAGCTTGGAACCCTTTGGTGGTAGGACGGCATCTCCTGAAAAAGGTATTTAGCAAGACCAACAACGGGCACTAATCAGTCATCGTCACTCGGAGATCCCTGCGGAAATGGAGGGCAAATATAATAAAAGGGACCGCGCGGCGGCGCATATGCAACGTCACTTCTGTTACATTCAATATCTCGGCGATGGAAAGGGCGTGGCTGCGTACTTCAAGCAAACGTAGCGACAGCTCTGGGGCATTCTCATTTTGGAACAATTGCAATTTATGACCATGAGCAGCGCAAGAAAAGAAGAGAGTTGTCTGAAATGGAAATATCCCGCAGGGAACACGTACTGCGCCATGTTCAAATAGGGTACTAGGACACGCCCTCCCAGTTACTGGTGTATAGAGTGTAAATATGCTCTCTGAATGGAAAGAAGAATGGTGCATAGCCATTTTAAGGATCAGGAAAAATTGGCAAGACAAATGAAAGACAGATCAGACCAGACTTGACGAGGCATAATCGCGCCGCCGCGAGGTCCCTCACGACAAAACTTGCCAAAAAAGTACCTTTAGTAAGTGACCAATCACACCAAGTTAGACAAGCTTTTTCGAGTGGATCGCCAACAAGATCATCATCAAATCGAACGAGACTGTGGCAGCAAGCGAGAACCTTAAACAACACATCCTCATAATAATGATTCAAAGACGGTGGGCGCGATTGCTGGGGGCGGGCGGTTGTTTCTAGCGTGAAGGACAGAAGGAGTTGAGGGTCCAATGCGGTGTAGGCATAAAACGCACCCAATGGCGCTTGTAACAACCGCCCACCCCCAGCAATCACATCGCATTCATCGAAAGATAAGTTCATGAAAATACCTGTAAAGATTCTAGTGGGATATCAGCAACCGATTTCAGGATACCATTCTCTTCACTGGAACTGAAACATGACGAAGTTTTGTGACAGAGTCAAACTTACTCGAAACTGAGGGCGCTATTCAACCTTCATCGCCCAACTTTATTAAATTGGACTGAATTGACCTTGGGCCTAGATTTTCGAAAGTAAGGCAGTGAAAATAAGTAGCCCCAAAATAAAGGTATGCTTACCTGAATGCGATGCCCTCAACGACCGAGATTATCAGTGGTAAGCGTCCCAGTCTTGTCAAAACAACAAATATCAATTTTGCCAGCGAATGGAATTCGAAACGGTTCGGTGCAAAATACTCCTGAATTTAGACTGGCACTTTTGCTCCATTATAGAGGGCTACACCAACGTTACCTAGCTTTTGAAGAGCAATCAACGACGTGTTGACAGCTAGTGAAAGTTCTATTGGTAACTCAGGAGGGATTACACTTGTCAGAATAAGCGTACATTCCAAAAACAATTTATATTTATTGCGCTTTTCATCCTGGCTCCCTGAAATAGTAAGTGAATATGAAAGGCCTGCAAATTATGTATAGTAAAAAGCAAGGCACTAAATGTTTCGGAAGAGAGGGGACTAACCCCACACGACTAGCCCACGCCCTTCCTTGTCGCCTGCACCCACTCACCTGGACTTGCACGTCTATGCCTCAAGAGCACGGCGCGTCCGCCATTGGGGAGAACTTTTGCAAAATACGATCCCCCTCAGAGATTCTCCCTCTGAAACGACCCCCACTCCCTTCCATGTCCTATCAACTGTCTTTCAAAATTATCCTCACTCCCTAACACTTTCCAGGATTTTTTCCAAAAATTCTTCCTTTTGTCCACAAAAAACTGCTGCCAAGCGAGGGAGGGGCAGGAGGGGGTAGAGCATACGAGAAACAGGAAAAACCGAGAAATTAATAACCGAAAACATTTTTCCTCAAGGGCAAATATGATCTCCCTTGCTGGGCTCCCGACGTGCCCTGCTCGGGAAGGACCAGTCTTCCGTTCAACGGGGATGTCAGCGCCTAGTGGCCTGTAGCCTATTTGCGATCTCGGGAGCAGGAAGCTTCATGGTGGGTGAGCCACTTCAGACATCCTAATTCCTGAATGATAAACGGTTCGCCCACCCCTGGTCCCCTCCCTTACAAGTTGGAAGCCAATGTAGCGCTAGAGTAAAATTGCAGCCTGGCCCTCCCGAGGCATTTAGCGTCGGAAACAAGTCTTCTTGTCCACTCACCCACAACCCACAGGTATGCAGCTGCAGCGATTGCAAAAATAAGCAAAAATAGAATGAAACAAAACGTTTCGAGATTATTTGCTGTTACTCGTTTGACGCCAAACATTATTGTCCTGAAATTAGTGTCAGCGTTTGCCGGTAAATCTGTGAGCACTTCTACCTAAA